ATCCATCTCGGGGCTTTGCAGGTCAATCTGGAGTGCAGATACGGACTGAAGAAGGGCTTCCGGTTTGATGCAGTTACACAGATTTAAAATTCAATTCTTAATTTTTACATATAAAAAATTTATGATTAAGATAACAAAACCAAATAAATTGAAAAAGATCCAGAGATTAACCATTTTTTTGTATAAAAGTTTGATTAATCAAATTAACTGAATCAAACCAAAATTTTTTAAAAGAAAAATCAAATTTTATTTTAATTTTTTTTTTTTGTAAAATTACAAAATTTGGTTAACCCTAGCTTAACAAAACATTTGTTGTTAGTCAACCCATATTTCCAAAGTAAATTAAGTTCAAATTTTAATTAAGAAATAGTTAATGGATTTTTTCGGTTTGGTACGCTAGCATAATTAGACTAAATAAGCCCTTGAGTCCAAACATGAGGTAGCAATTGGTGTTATTATTATTATTATTATTATTATTTTGTTTTGATATTTACGGTAAGATATTCTTGAATAAGTTTTTATATACTTTAAAAATATCTCTATCCTAGATGATTTTAAGAACATACCCCTTAAATCAACTTGATATATTCAAAAAAATTAATTTCCTTAAAGGGAGACATATGATGTCTCTTAAGCGGTAATTAGGATGCAGGAAGTTTGGCAACTTCAGCTTCAATCTCAGAGGCCATTGCCGTTTTGGAAGACAATAAATTGGTAAAGGAGCTTTTTTTAAACAATGTTATTGTGTGTTGCATGTTGGCTCAATACTATATAATGGACCCAAGGCCCAAACCTAAAGCAAGCACAATCATGGGCCTCTATAAAGGTGCAATGCATAAAATAAAAATAAGAGAGTTAATTAAGTAATGACACATATAAAAACATCATCAATCAATCAGACTATAAATACTCTATAACAATCAGCATACAAGATAATTATGCACTCTCTTATTCTCTCTTTTATTCTCTAGTTAGGAGCTGTAGAGTTTATAAATTATTATTGATTTAGACATCAAAATATCTTCTCCAAAGTTTTAATCTTGAGGCTTTGTAGGTGTACCTAAGACAAGATCTGAAATCTAAAGTCCAGTCAACTAGGAGACAGACGCTTCAGAGGTTCGCAATGCTTTCACGTTTCAAGAACCCAATAAGGCTGACTGAGAAATTACATTGAGGATGCAATGGCTTTATCAAAGAAATTTCAATGGTTTTATGCTAACCCACGTAAGAAGAACATCTAATGTTGTGGCAAACTATGCGGCTACTAGTTTTCGAGGGAGAATGTGCTCGAACAAATGGGTCCAAGATGCCTTTTTTCTTTACAATTGGTTTTGGATGTAGATGCTACTACCAGGTCTACAACGGATTGACTAAAATGCATTCCTTCATTAAGTTGTATTCTTGTTATTCATGTTAATGAATCATATATTTTGAGGGTAAAATAATAGTAATAATAATAAAAAAAGCCCTTTCAGTCTCTTTCTTTGTATTGTTGACAACTTAGCTATTTGTATTATCAATAATTATTACTCGAAAATATTAGTATATAAATTAAGGAAGATTTGTTGAATAATTCGGAATGCTTTTAATAGCAATCAGGTATATCATATCCCAATTTTTTTGTGCATTATATTAAAGTAAATCTACCTCCTTGGTTTAATAAGAAAATATGTTGTCCAGATATCCACGCTAAAGTTAGAGATTTAAAAAAAAAAAAAAAATTCAAAGAGCCAGAATTAGGGAATTCACTAGCTAGATTTCCATTTTCATTTGCATCCTCAGAGAATAGATTTTAATCAATGAAGTTATAGAGTAAATTTTCATTTGGTCACTACCTAAATAATTGTTTGGAATATATAAATGAGTAAGAAACATAAAAAAGAAGGGGAGCCCATGGTTGATAATGAAGGGTTAATAAGACTACATATTTTATAATTATTGATGGATGGGTAATCACTCCAATATCAAGATCCATCCCTTACTAATAATTATAGTGATAAGATTTATGTTTGGCAAAACATTTTTATCTTTTTTTTTTTTTTTGTTAAACTTATCTTGGGCCTGAAACTAAACTCTATTTAAAATGTGTTTGGGCCTGATAGATCTAAACATGAGCTAAAATGTTTTGAGAATTAAGAATTTAAGACCTTCACTAAGTTCATTCTAAACATTTATTGGATTGTCACAGGGGTCAGCTAATTAGATGAACCGTCTAGATTGATTAGACTCATGGTCAAATCTGATCAATATAACTTTGGTAAAATTCTATGTTCAACCACTTAGCATTCTCGTTTTAGGGCATAAGCCCAAACAAGAAAATTGTATATAAGGCCTTGAATCCCAAAAGGACAATATTATAGATAAAATATCAAATAAAATTGTAAATTTATAATTACAATATGAAGAGATGGAACTTGAGCAAAATGTTTGGGGGGCCAAAAAATTTGTTTTTGATAACCAACAAATATAAGTATATAATACATCTAACATAATTTCACATGTAATTGTTATATATCAAAATTTATTATTAGTTAAAACAAAAGTAAAAAAAAATGATTGTATGTAATAAATATCCAAATATAATAATGTAAGCAATGAAATCTTTAGTTATTCTAATTAATAAGAAACTCAAAAATTTACCCTCCATAACATTTCTCCTTTTATTGTGGATTTTTCATTTTGGTGGATGTTTCACTTTCACCTTCGTATACATCTTCTTCCATGTTGTAACTTGTCACCATTAAAGGGTAATTCATGATCCCACTAAAGGCCATTTAAGGGTCCATTAAGGTGCTGTTCATTTTTTCATTTAGTCCTATTCAATGGTTAAGGTAACTCCCATATGTCCCATATCCTATATATATGTTTGTATGATTTGTACATGAAAAAGTACACGATGAAATAAAAAACTATCTCTTTTGTTTGTTATCTTGCTACATTTTCTCTAATTTTATAATACGTTATTAGCACAATCATCACCACCATCAATTTGTGACGAGCTCTTAAGGTAATCCTTTGTTTTCTAATTTCAATTTGATTTGAATATCTAACGAATTTTTGTAGCCACAATGTTAAACTTGATAAAACTTGTATTTATCATCCTTGATATAACATGTTCAAATTATTTGCCATGGATACTTGATGCTAAAACACATTTGGTTGTAAACAATCTTGGTAAAACAATTGTTGAAGGAAATTAAGCATTCTTACAGGATTGCGCTAAAGTGCTAATATTCTTTTGCCATCATCTCCATTAGAGATTGAAGGCTAAATACTTAACAATTAAAGATCCATTTGAATTAAGGTAGAATTTCAAAGAAAGATGTGATCACTAAAAATCGATGCTGTTGCCAAAAACTTGTTATGAATGGATGTGTCTACAATTATAAAATTTTTGTTGACTCAATGTACTCCAAGAGGGGAGTGAATTGGAGTTCCAAAACTTTTCCCCTTTTTCAACCACAAAACCCAAATTAAGGAGAGTAGAGAAGAAGAGCTTGCACAATGAATTTATAGAGGTTCGGTCCAATCACTTGGACCCTAGTCCTCTACCTTGGCTTCACTCACCAAGGATTTCCTCCACACTCTTCACTAAGAAAGACAAGGGTGGCTTAAAGGAGCCACTCAATTCTTTTACAACAAGATGAGTATTTCTCTCAAACCTCACCCCTTTACAATGTAAGCCCCACAAATCCTCTCAATAGATGACTCTTGAAGGAATCAACACACCCCCAAGATCACTCACTAAAAGCACAAGAAGAGGATTACAAGCAATGATCACTCAAAGATCAAAAACTCAAGTTAAAGTTCAAGTAGGTAGGTAAAGATATTCAATGCAATTTTCTCTAAACTTCTTCAGATCTGTTACCAACCATATTTATAACCCCTTGCTCGAAAATAGCCGTTACTAGCCGTTAGGGTCATTAAATGCTCTGCAGACGCAAAAGTCGAGTTGCAGGATTGTTAAGAGAGCCGGCTCTTAAGATCCGGCTTACACTTCTAGAGCCGGCTATCCAGGTTTGCAGACCATTCTGTTTTTCTCCAGAATCGACCGCAAAACTTTGAGCAGGCTTTGCAACTCCGACTTTAAATACATTAAATAATCTTCAAATGACTCGACCGTTGTGCATTAAATGCACCCTCACAGCCGACTATAAAGTTGAAGCCGGCTTTGCGTCTTTTCTCCGCGCGCGCCAAGCAACGATCTTCAAATTTTTGCCTGTAGAGCCGACTGCAGCTTCTAGAGTCGGCTCTCTACACATTTTGAATCCTTTTGGTCTATTTTTAGTGCAATCCAAGTTTACTTGTAATCTTTTAGCAATTTAACTACACACTTAAATAAACCAATTAGTCACTCAAATGTATTTTGTAATCATCAAAATCATAGGTACAACAATCTCCCCCTTTTTGATGATGACAAAACACTTTGAGAATTAATTAATGAAAGCACAGAAATACTTCAATATTAACCAGAATTTCAGCACAAGGTACTCTAGAAAATGACATTAAATTCAGCATATTCTCTCCCCCTTTTTGTCATTCATCAAAAAGCACATAATCAACAAACTCCCCTTTAATTCATGCACATCAATCTTTAAAGCATTTAAGCATGATAACCATTAAGAAAAGTAATTTAAGCACAAAATGCTCCCCCTTAATTCATGCTATCAACCTTTAAAGCATCAAGAATATGTAATGAATATAATCATCAATCATCATCAATATAGCACCATAGATAACCAAAGTCATGAATACAGTCATCAACCAATAAACTCCCTCTTAATAAGAGCATATAATCATCAAAATCATATACAATCAATACCAAAGTCATAAACTGCAGGAGAGCTGGCTCTAGACCTGGAGTCGGCTTAATTCTAGAGAAAGAAGCTCGAATATTCAAAAAGCTGCAAGAGAGCCGGCTCTAGTCTTAGAGCCGGCTCTAGCCTTGGAGCCGGCTTAACTCTAGAGAGAGAAGACTCTCTGGTTTTTGGTGGAACCCGCTGTGAAAATGCTTGAGCCGGCTCTACTGTCCTTGATTGGGACAAATAGAAAGTTTAGGGCTGTTTTGAAGGGAATGCACCTTAATTTGATATTTCTTCATTTAACCAAGTTTAAATTGAACATCAACTACTAAATTTGCAACTTTAGTCATATATCAATGTATGCATCATCAAATAGCATGAATATAATCAAGGTACACAAATCAAAGAAATCAATATGCACAAATTTTAATAAGCAAATTCATTAATTTCAAGAATCATATCAAGCACTAGGATCAAACATACCAAGCTCATTTCTAATGAAGAAAAACCTATCACAATCAAGAGGCTTTGTAAAAATATCAGCTAATTGATTTTTAGTGTCCACAAATAATAAATCAACATCACCATTAGCAACATGATCCCTAATAAAATGGTGCCTAATTTCTATGTGCTTGATGCGAGAATGTTGGATGGGATTTTTAGTGAGATTGATAGCACTAGTATTGTCACATTTAATAGGAGAATGTTGGATGGGATTTTTAGTGAGATTGATAGCACTAGTATTGTCACATTTAATAGGAATATGATCCATAGTAATGCCAAAATCCAAAATTTGTTGTTTCATCCACAGCACTTGAGCGCAACAACTTGCGGCGATTATGTATTCGGCCTCGGTTGTAGATAAAGCAACACTATTTTGCTTTTTGGAAAACCATGATATGAGCATATTGCCAAAAAATTGACAAGTTCCATTTGTACTTTTTCTATCAATCCTACAACCCGCATAGCATGCATCCGAATATGAATGTAAGTCTAAGGAAGAACCTTTAGGATACCATAAACCAAGATTGGGAGTATCCTTTAGGTACCTAAAGACTCTTTTAACTGCAATTAAGTGTGACTCCTTAGGACAAGCTTGAAATCTAGCACACAAACAAACACTAAACATTATATCCGGTCTACTTGCGGTTAAATAAAGCAAGGAACCAATCATGCTTCTATAAAGTTTGGGATCAATAGGCTTACCTCCTTCATCCTTGTCTAGATTAATTGAAATGCTCATAGGAGTAGCTATTGGCTTACAAGTCTCTATGCCAAACTTCTTAAGCATTTCCTTTGTATACTTGCTTTGGTTAATGAAGATGCCTTCTTTGGATTGTTTGATTTGAAGTCCCAAGAAGAAGTTGAGCTCACCCATCATGCTCATTTCCAATTCACCTTGCATAGCTTTGGAAAACTCTTGACAAAGAAAATCATTAGTAGCACCAAACACAATATCATCAACATAGATTTGGACAATTAGTATATCTTGGCCTTTGTTTTTCACAAACAAGGTGGTATCAACTCTTCCTCTAGAAAAACCATTTGCAAGCAAAAAACTACTTAATCTTTCATACCAAGCTCTAGGAGCTTGTTTTAAGCCATATAAAGCCTTTGAAAGTTTATAAACATGGTTTGGATAAGATGGATCTTCAAAAC